TTCACGTACACGAATATGGATTCACTGATGATAAATCCCACATGGACTCCTGAACAACCATGCCGTTATAATTAGATTCTTTTCAATAGAAATTTTCTGTTGTCAAAACTAAAAGTTATCTCGTATTTTGGTGTGTATGAGCACATTGCTTGACCTGTGCTGGAGTGATTAAGTGAATGAGTTTCCAAAATATATTTTGTAATTGGTATGCTTCCATAAAAATCTTTCTCAAAAAATGTCTGCTAAATCACATATGTTTATATGTGCTTGCACATGCACCAGTTTCAATATATTCATATACACAGAACATGATGACAGCTATCAATCAGTTTATGGAATACTTCAATCAAATAGAAAAAACTCAAACTTCTTTCATAGATTCGCCTGTAAGCCCAACCGAACCCTCGAGTAGCTATGAAGTCACACAAGGAGAACACTCGTCAAGACTCAAGATATGCGATTATATATAAGACAAGCTACAATAGACATACGTTCAGTATCTTCATAGAATTCTCAGACATTATGTGTTCCACTCGCACGGATTATTAATAGTCTCTTTCATGTAGCTGATGCTTAAGCGACACTTCAACAACAAGTTTATTGACTATCCAACAGAGCTGAACATCGAAAAACAGTTGAAATTAGCAGCTGAGACAAGAAGCAGGTCAAGCATCTACGAAGATCCTCTTACTTAACCACATGTACGTAACAACGCCCAAACACAACAAAAAGATCATCACACAGAAAAGCAGAAAACTTCGTCAGAATGAATAGAATCATGAAAAACATGACTTCTAATGGGGAACAGCAGCTCTTAAACATTATTTTCTAGTCTTTCATGATACGAAGTTTTCGAGACCTACATTCTCTCGTGAAACTACATGACTGCAACTAGAAAATATCGGTTCTTCTTTATTTATGTGACATGATAAAACTAGGCATGTGTGTGCATAGAAGTATTTTTCCATAATTTTTTCAGAAATCTACTATTGTAATGGGCATGCGCTTGCTGATGTAATTCAGTTTCATTTTAAAGAATATGGTTGTGAGTGTGGTAGGATTTGTGAATATTTTTTTTCATATCGAAAGTACTCCGCTATTTGCATACTAGAATAGGCTACATATGCGTTCACTAAAGCATTCGGTTTTGAATAGACGATGAGCAAAAAGTATAATTAAAATATAGTATAACAAACACATGTAACCTATGATAAATGATCCGTTTTGAATTCGGCTATTCTCGTAAGTAATTTATAGTGTTAGAATCAGATATACTGGTATGCATATTAAAATCAGCACCTTCTAGCGAGCGACCGTGAGATAAAAAAACAAGGGATATATGCTACTGAGAGCTGAGATTTTTACTGAGATAGGTTGTGTTAGTAATGCTCAGAAGTTGCTGACTGTATATAAAACTTGTCAATCCTATCAGAAATGCATTCTTGATGTTTCCTTCATTTTTAATGAGGCTTCATAACGTGTCACCAAAACTGAAAAAAAGCCCAAGAGAAAGATACTCATAAAAAACTTCGTCCTTTTTTTTCTACCTATTATTGACACATCCATCTGATGATGGTTATTAATAGACAACAATCACTGTATCTATGTTTATCAAAGAATAAAAAGAACTAAGTGAGCATTGTGTGATTCATATGAGATCTGTTTTTAGTGTCCAATTGTAGCTTCAATGAGCAACCGCATAAAAAATCTTTGTTGTGATTGAGACATTACAAAAAACTAATATGACTTTCATCACTCAATTGTTAGAGGGACAATCTTATGTACGAAGGAATCCTATATTTTATATCCAGTCGAAGCGTGCTATTTGTCTAAGTTTTGCCAATTCAAATAATTATATATAGCCAACGAATCAAAACGTAACTTGAGCTTAATAATAAGATGTTGGAGTATTAATATGTCTTGCCTTTATTAAACGAGTATAAAGTTTTCCTTTTCATCTACATTCACACTATCACCAATACTATGACTCAAGTCTTCAGACAAAATCTTTCAATTTATTCATTGTTGCCACATATTGTCATTATGACGTTTACAGGTATCGTTGGAAACTTTGATGAAAAATCAATGATCGACAGCTATGAAATCAGCAGTTCAAATTAGATTTCTCTAAAAAATAGTCGTAACATGTAATCAATGCAAAACTTTGCTAAGTTTTTCTAGAAAATACGAGTTGATGCTGGCCGAATTATATATGATAATGATGTCAAAGGATTTCTTTCGTAGTGTTAGCAGCTAATTCTGTCTGCAAAGGTGATTCTGCTTCTTCAGTCGTCTTATTTTCTTCAATTGTCGTCGATACCTTTGCTCCAGTATCAATTGATAAAATGCCATAATGACAAATAATAAGTGTCGTCAAGGAGACTACCATCATGGAGATAAGTGTTAACAGCGACACACGAAATGAGAAATAATTTAGTAGTAGAAAACCAAGCGCTGATGAGCCTGCGTGAAATAATTTGAAGTTGGCGAAAGCATCGGAAGGTCGCATCTGTCCAAAGAACGTGCCTAATATAGCACCTAATTCTATGCTTAAAATAGCATCGCTCATGCTGATTCCAATGGCTAGTGAGATAAATACGTAAATATTTTGTTGATCTATGGGAGGTTTCCAGATTGTTAGGAGAAGTGCATAGAGAGCAGTCGGTAGTAGTAAACTCCAAATACAAACGGGCAATCGACAACAAAATCTATCACTAAGCTTTCCAAAAGCTATGGCACAAACTGTATTTACGACATTCGCTACAGCAAAGACAAAATATTTACGAGTCTTGTCCTTAATTAATGGTGGCAGGCCACCGTAGAGAAACGATTGCTGGATGCCATAGTAGACCATTGTTGGCACGAGAAACAGAAAATGAACATTCTTCAGCAGCGATAAGCTAGAGATCATTGAGCTTTGTGTTCGTTCTAAAAATTAAAATAAACGCTCATTGAATCTCCAAAAGATTTTCGTTTCTCTAAGGACTGTTTTCCAGCAAAAGTCAATGTTCTAATTCTCAATTTCTTACTGACGGAAAAAGAATCATTTATGGAAGAAGGTTCAAGCATTTTAATCAGATCATGCTGAGTTTTACAAGTCTTGGGACGAATTTTTCTTAATGTCTGATATTAGACGAAAACTGAGCATCCATTCTATACCTGTTTTTGCTGGCATACGTACAGGTGGCAGTAGGCATAAAGTAATCGTTCCAAAAGCACAAATTATGGTCATAATAGAGAAAATGATCCATTCACGCAACTGAAGATAGAACAGTAGAGATGCGAGTAGAGCTCCTAGTGCTTGACTAAATTGAAACACTCCAAAAAAGATTCCGTTCATAAAACCACGCGTTGATGAAGGCACGAGTTGATTGCGAGTTTCATGTTCATTATTTGCTAGTGTCAGATACGCACCTTGAGCCGTCCACAGAACTGCTGCACCAATACCCAGAGTAAAGCAAACAACGTATAGTATCCACTTGATATATATGATGTTACAAGCAGCAAAAGCTACGTAGATAGAACTAGCTAGGGTAAGTGACAAGCGAAGACCTAACACTTGCACTAAATAGGACGATAAAATCAAGCTTGACACACATAAACTTGTGTAGAGTAGAAATAAACCAGTGGCACCAGCACTGGGATCTGCAGAAGATGTTTGAAACATTTGTACCACGAAGAACGACATGAAAATGAGTAGAAAAGAGAAGCTCAAATGAACAATTTTGAAAATATTCGATCGATTCATGTTTGAAAAGCAGGTGCAGTTTTTTGTCACAAGGCTGTTTTATTAAAAATCATTTAATCACCACAACATATATGTTTTGTTGATTCTTGTCACCGGTTAATACGATTGAAGTTGACAAAACCACGTATTACAGCTGTTCTTTTTCTTGAATACTCCCGAAATCTTATCAGTGACAATGAAAGTAATAACGAGTTATCAATATCAACCACGTTGAGACATACTTATTCTGAGCTTTGCCGAGTAGAGATAACGTTTTCACTTTCTTTTAAATTTCACAAATCAAAAGAAAGTTATTGTTTTTTAGCTTTCCTTTTCAAAAAGAAAGAAAGGCAACACTGGACCGTTTTTTTGTTAGAAATCAATAGTATCTGTATTATGAGTTATACTTGGAAAAAAGAGGTGGGTGTTTGTGTGGGTATGGGTTTGCGTGAGTAGTTTTAACGACATAAATGCTCACACCTACACCCACACTCACAGCCAAACCCACACCCTCACCCACACCCACACTCACCCCGACCCACACCACACTCACACCGACCCATGCCCACACCCACATCGACCCATGCCCACACAGACCCACACCCACACCGACCCCCGCCCACACCCACCTATACCCACACTCACACCCGCACCGACCCATGCCCACACCCACAATGCACCACACCCACAATGACCCACACCCACAACGACCCACACTCACACCCATACCCACATCCGCATCCGCACCGATCCATACCCACACCAACATCCGCACCGATCCATACTCACACTCACACCCACACCCTGCATATGACAAGAGAAAGATAACGAGCATATATGGATATTACATATAACATTTTCTCTTATGGCACATGTAACATATGTGCCATAACACCCACATCCCACCCACACCTACAGCCGCACCCCACACCCACACCTACAGCCGCACCCCACACTCACACCCCACACCCACACCCACCCAAAATTCGTAAATCTCTTGCCTCTACAACATTTGTTCAATTGAACAAGATCTGACGACCTCGATGGAGAACAATCTTTTGGCATCGGTCACGCCTTACGTGAATTGGCTCATAATTGATATGTATTTTTGAACGACACATGTCTTCATTTGACACATAAGAAGCAACAGTTCTAATTCAAATCTTTCAAACGCTTAGATCAAGCTTTTTAGTGATTGAGATTATGTTATTTATTATCAATGAATTCTAGTTTCAAAGTTATTAATCATATGAAAACAAGCACAACACTTTCTTTAACATAATTTTAATAATTGTTCACAATTAAAAAACGAAACATTCGGCATTTGCTTAATACTTTGAAGGGCTTTCTTTAAATGAAGAGACTTCGCTGGTGTACCCACAATAAATGTATGCAATCCCAAACAAACAACTTTAGATTTTGATTTATTTTCTATAGATAGGCTTTCTACATAATCTACTAATGTTTGACCATATTCTTGACCAGTATAACCTTGACACATACATAATGAGATATCATTTGTTTCCATTGAATAAGGTAAAATTATTAGTTCTTCTTCTTTATTATTAGACGATTTTAATTTATATAATACATCATCATTCGTGGCATCAAGTGATATACGAATACCGTTATCAACTAAAAACATACAACAAAATTTAATATTTCGATATTTTCATTGAAAATTTTAGAGAAAAATATACGTACTATAAAGATGAATTTTTGTTATTTTCTCACTCGAACGACCCTCCGCATCAGATGCTAAAATGCTTCTGAGTTCAAAATTTCATGCACAAGAGATGTATAGACTAGACAAATCGTAAGAGAATATGAGTATAAATTGTGACTCGGTTGTAATCGATCATTCTAGCGTTTCATTAAAATCACAGTTCGAATCTTCGACTTTAGATTCTGCCCATAAATACGTACAGTATTCGTTAAAATATCCTGAAAGTCTCAACAGAAAACAGTATTTCTTTCTCGATATATTCAGTTTCAAAAACACCTAGTTATTTGGGATGAAAATCGTGCATATTCAAATATTTAATATGTCGACAAAGATATGTTTATTTCAACTAAAACTTTCAGAATATTATGAGAACCATCACGTCTCTCTATGTACGAAGTCTGAAATTGATATACCACTGTTTATTTTTTCAGTGAATGTCTCAAAATCAGTGGAGAATTCAGAAAAATAGTTTTTTTTGAACGCATAGAAGTATGGATACGAACTAAGGTGCGCGTAATCCAAAACTTCAGCAGATTTTATTTTTCGTTAAAAATAACATCCCTAGACTCAGTTTTTGACGCTGATCACGAATATCACCTTACTTTTTTTAATTTGATCTACTTGTCATTTAGAAAAACCCAAAATACTGAAAGATACAAAAAAGTCAAAAAAAAGCGCATTCTGCCAGTGAATGCCCTGAAAAGTTTTTATTGATTGATCTTTTGTTTTTTTTGAATGGCATATTCGAATTCCTCGTGAAAAATTGAGTTGATTCTCATTATTCAGAGATTTATCATGTATCACCTGTCCGATTTCATAAGAGGTATTAAATAACCTCGCAGCGAGAGTGGTCCTCAATTTTGTAAACCTATCTAGTTTTTTTCTAGACTTTATAGAATCTTCGTTCAAATACCAGTCGAACCGCCTTTTGACGGGCTACAAAAGTATGCATCGCATTTTTTCATTTTCTTTTTCTATTTGGAAAATTTTAGACTAATAATAGCTTGAATAAGCAAATAAACATAAATCATTTTTTTTTATTTTCAAGAAAAAAACAAGTTTTTGATCTTAAATATCAAAAATTAAGTCGCAAAGGTTAAAAATCAGAGAGAATTCGATATGAATGCTAGCATAAGTCCTACAAGAATCTCCGAAAGTGGTTCAGATGTCCATATATTTGGTTGGGATATGTTTGAGAACGCTGCATATTCTCATTTTTTCTCCTATTTCTGTAATCCATTTTTTACAGACTGGTTTGATTAATATTAAAATCATGAAAACTTCCCCTATTCTATCTGTCTAATTTTGTAAAGCCGCTATGACTGAATGGTTAAGATGCTTGGCACATATTAAATGGACATATGCTCGAACGTCGGCTCCGTCAGTCATAGAGTGACCCTGGACTAGTGGCGGTGCGAGACTATTAGCGCCCCTCTTGTTTTGAGTGGGCAGTAGAAGGTGGCGCCATTTATATATATGTCGTGTTCTTCAGGATACAAATCAATCGTAGAGCTGCTAATCACGGAAGTAAAAGACGAGCTTTTCTCTTCTTCTACTAAGGGCATCGGAACGGCCTTCTACTGTATTGACACTGTGTATTCTTGATTACAAGGCGCAAATATTGAAGGCGCCACCTTCTACTGCCCACCCAAAACAAGAGAGGCGCTAGTAGTCTCGCGCCGCCACTACCCTGGACGAGTCACTAACGGCTTATTTTGCCTCGGTTCACTCATCTGATAACAAACTGACTACGTTGTCGACATACATTATAGTCTGAATGGTTGATATGTGGTTAGTCAGTATGTATGGGGAGCTTAAGTAATTAAGTGAGAAGAACTCTGAATCAGGCCGGCCTTCTGTCCAGAGCTACATTTAGCAATGGATGTAGGAAAACATCGAGTCTCTCGAAACTGTCCTTGGAGAGCACCACACACCGCAAGGTGGTCGAAAGGCAAGATATCTTCTTCTTCTTTTTAATTTTGTATCAAGTTCTTTAATACCACTTAACTGATAGAATCTCGAATCAATAAATCTCGTTTAAGTTTCAGCTCTAAATGATGCTTCTTTCTTTGAACATTTTTGCAGAACGAATGGTCTACTCTCTTATGATAAATCTGGGAAACATTCCCAGATCGAATCAATTCATTTACACTTCGTTCATCGATATAAATTTATCGAGATCTTTGTTAACCAAAATGTAGTAGCGGCGCGAGACTACTAGCGCCCCTCTTGTTTTGGGTGGGCAGTAGAAGGTGGTGGCCTCAATATTTGCGCCTTGTTATCAAGAATACACAGTGTCAATACGGTAGAAGGCCGTTCCGATGCCCTTAGTAGAAGAAAAGAAAAGCTCGTATTTTACTTCCGTGATTAGCAGCTCTACGATTGATTTGTATCCTGAAGAACACGACATATATAGAGATGGCACCACCTTCTACTGCCCACTCAAAACAAGAGGGGCGCTAGTAGTCTTGCACCGCCACTACCAAAATGTCCCACCATTTATAACCTCCCGGTCCACCATTACTCTAGCAATCCTCAGAAAGTCGCTTAACAAAGTCTCAAGAGATACAAGACAGAGATTCTCTTATGAGTTTTAAGTGAGTTTCCATGAAATTATAAGACGGTCCCTAAAGACCGGAGCGGCATTAGAGTAGATGTATTCATCATTATTCGCTATTATCACATTTTTCATTGAATTTTCATCATTTAATATGCGTATTTTTTTTTTGACAACATCTGGATTCTTGTTTCGAAGAATGGTCAACTGAGGCCTACACGAGATTTTTCCCTGTAGGAAAAGATCTATGGATTAACTCCTGACTCACATCAAAACGGTGAGTTATCACTGAAAAGGTTCTTCTAGGAGCCTAGAAGTATCAACTAATCGAATTAATAAACTGTTTGAAAAATTAAAACTTATTTGTTCAGAATATCTCTATTCTTATATACTTTAATAAGCATTAAATAAAACAGCGAGTATATAACAGTGCTCGTTCAGAAGCTCCTCAAGTGGTCCGCAGTGATTTCCCAGGAGAATGTTTTGTTTCTAGAACTGTGCGAATCAGAGAGTCCACAGATATTTTGCAAGAAGTTCCTGGAGCTTCGTGGGGACTTGACAGTTCTCAGGTACTCCTTAGTGACTTGTCAGGGAGGCCAGAATTTCGGCCCAGAGGCTAAGTATCTTCAGAATGAAGTGAGGATGAGAGGGTGATGGTCCAAAATTCTGGGGCGAAAATTTCGTGAGTCGAAATTCCTGTAACCCACTAGTCAAGTGATAGTCATATAAGGTTGAATTTACCGATGTATTTTCAGTTGTGTTTGAAAATTGATAAAAATCCCTCCAAGAATGGTCGCATGCACGTCAGGTCATATAAATTAAAATACTGATGAAGTGACTTTTACCGCTTTCGTTCTGAAGAGTGAAAAAACCACTCATATCGTTTAATTTAGAAACATTCGGAAAATCAATAAAACCTCTGTCATCAAGCGAACTTTTTTCACATGTTATTCGTTACCAGATGAATCAACTAGTTCCTTCCAGACTCTTCCTTTCGACATCTTATTCTTGCGATACGACATTGTAACAATACTCACAATGTGTTGTTAGTTCCCAAATGAAATGACTGCAATATCTTCTTACATCCGTGCATGTTTTTCCTCGTTCCCCTTCTAGGTGTCTGTCCTCCTCGTACATAATAATATTATGTTGTTTGTGTGTACTTTGGAATGACTCGCCTGACCTGGTCTTATCCCGTACATAGTGTTGTTGTGATTTAGCGTTTGTCCTCATATCTGTCATTACATCTTGTGTTTTTCTGTTATGATGTTTACTGCATTTTCAAGGTTCCTATATGCTACTAGATAGTGTATAAGGAACGAAGAAGATGTAGTAGAAGCACGGTTCTTAGTATACTAATAAAAGATACCCATAGCAGCTACTTCATTGCGTTCGTTATACAAGAAATCGTCACAGACATTGACAACTCCACCTTGCCTAGTCTTCAGCATGAAAGATGCTTTAAAATGATAATCCCATGTGTAATGAGCATCTATACTTCTACGATTTCCTCTTATGATTACCATTCTCATAGTCATCTTCGCTACAAAAGTTGATGTTGGATGATGCTCAGTATGTCTCGCAGCTTACTCATAAGTGATGACGCTGTATGTAACTCGCTGTTTACGGTGATTAGTCTACCTTGGGCCTTAATTTTATCTGTGGTCGTAATACTTTTGGCCAACTTCCGGAGATTCTTGTAGGACTTATGCTAGCATTCATATCGAATTCTCTCTGATTTTTAACCTTTGCGACTTAATTTTCGATATTTAAGATCAAAAACTTGTTTTTTTCTTGAAAATAAAAAAAAAATGATTTTTGTTTATTTGCTTATTCAAGCTATTATTAGTCTAAAATTTTCCAAATAGAAAAAGAAAATGAAAAAACGCGATGCATACTTTTGTAGCCCGTCAAAAGGCGGTTCGACTGGTATTTGAACGAAGATTCTATAAAGTCTAGAAAAAAACTAGATAGGTTTACAAAATTGAGGACCACTCTCGCTGCGAGGTTATTTAATATCTCTTATGAAATCGGACAGATGATACATGATAAATCTCTGAATAATGAGAATCAACTCAATTTTTCACGAGGAATTCGAATATGCCATTCAGAAAAAACAAAAGATCAATCAATAAAAACTTTTCAGGGCATTCACTGGCAGAATGCGCTTTTTTTTGACTTTTTTGTATCTTTCAGTATTTTGGGTTTTTCTAAATGACAAGTAGATCAAATTAAAAAAAGTAAGGTGATATTCGTGATCAGCGTCAAAAACTGAGTCTAGGGATGTTATTTTTAACGAAAAATAAAATCTGCTGAAGTTTTGGATTACGCGCACCTTATTTTAATCTTTTGCTAGTGTCACCGAAGTCAATTCATAGATCAAAGGAATGCTCAAATGACGAGTATAAGTTGGGCTGGTCCCCTTAGTTACCCTATCACATGTGAAAACGCTGAAATTTTTGTAGAAATTCATATAACTTCCCGATGTTCTCGCTATGCTATTATAAAAAAGGAATTCCATACCATTTCCACACTACCACCGCAGCGGTGACAGCGGCACTGTGCTGAACATCTCTAGCTCAAAAACGTTTCTGCTCCTCGCAAGATTTCCTTATGAATTAGAAGCTTTAAATAATTCAATATTAGAGACTAATTCCGAAAATAACAAATCGAATAATTAATGATTGACCTAAGATTTTTGATGAATTTTCCGGTGCTGCAAATCCAGGAGTTAACCATGCTGTTGGCCTTCGTCCATTCCCAACTGCTTTTTCAATTTGATTCAAAGATTGTTTTACTTGTTCTTCAAAAGATAAATGTTTAACAGCAGATAATGAATTTGTAAGACCATGACCAATAATTTCAACATTTTGTTCTTGTCGAGAATATTTTAATATTTCTTGAAATATATCAGGTTCTTTATCAATTAAATATGAATTCATAGCAACACTACTCGGTATTTGTAAGTCAGAAAATATATTAAGAAGACGACTTGTTCCTTGTCTATTACCATAATCACGCCAACCACTATTTGCAATATCAGGTGAAAGATTATTTAAATGTGGCTGAATACAAGGTCCGCCGTGACCATTAATAAATACTTCACAATTGATTATTGGAACAACCACTACTTGATCACTATTGGATGGATGTTTCAAAGAAATTTCTTCTCGTATATCAAACATCAATAAACTAAAATTAGTTGAAAACAAAACGAATTTGCACTGGATATGAAATGTAAATCACAAAATGATGTAAAGGAGAGCAAAATATTGTTTGAGTTAACTTATTTTGATATAGTTATTTTTGAAAAATTATTTCGTCCTTTCTCTACTCAAAAACCTTGTGAAAGTAAAATGAATCACTTAATCAAATAAAAGCTTCAATGTGAACTAGAGAAAAAACTAAATTGCGTCGGTTACCTTTTTCTTTCTTATCTAACTTGACGCACAAATGCGCAGCTATCACAAGCCATATCGTCTCTTTTTTTACTAACTGCACCACAGTTACGCGTAAGTGCGAAATTTTCATCGGAACTGCTGGTAATTGTTGACGCATTGATCATAGTGAAAACCTCTATCAACAGCTGCAATCGTATCGCAGGACTGATTGTAACTAGTACCGACCAGTTATAAGTGATTTCTCCTTATTAAAAATGGATGATACTCTAACACTAAAACCCAGCCATACAGGGACTGCATAAAAAGCAGTCATCATGTAACTTCGACTCATAATTAACTATACTACGAACGATAGAATTTTTTCAAAAAAAATTAGTTTTTTTTAATTGTTTTTGATTTTCTCCATTAATATTTTTTTTAATTCTTCTTGTTTTCAAATCTTTTTATTTTTTTAAAGCTTTTTTTCTAATTTTTAAACTTCTTTAATTTTTTTAATATTTTTTCTAATTTTTCAAATCCTTTTTATTTTTTGAAGTCTTGCTTTGTCTAAATTTTTAATTTTTTGTGTTTCAAAAAATATTTTTAATTAACAATAAAAGTATTAATAGAGTAAAAGCATTATGTATATCATCTCTTGCAATTGCAAAAAGCTGCGACGCAATCTCGCACCAGTGTGATTTTTTTATTGTACTTGTGCATAACTATGTCGCAACTTTCCGAAATTATGAATCACAATAAGATCATAGTTACAGCGCAATTGCGTTGCAGTTTAACGGCAATGAAACACTTGAGAATACTTTTATCAATTTATCTTTAACAATCTCACACCATTTACTATCAGAAGGAGGCCATTTCTTAAAAGTGGAGTGCAAATTATTCGACGTCGCAATTTAATATTGCGCTGAAAGACCTATGAATTACTAATTTTACTGAATAAACAACATTGGTCCATCACACGCTTACCTTGTGCTACGATAAGGCATAGAAAACATTAGTTTTGATAAGCTTTTTCTTATAAATAGTTCTGAACAATCATCGCAAGGGTATACATAAAAGGAGAGTTTATCTGAGAAAAACGACGAAATATTTTACTGCCGACAAAAAAAGACAAAGTAAGTAAATTATTCATCAATTTTCCTTCATGTATAGTGGCTTTTTCGAAGTATGACAGAACTCGTTCAAGCACAAACATGTAGCAATATTTAGAAAATCCCTTGGGACGCATGTTACTGACAATGGAGGAGTATCAAAAAAACAGCTTTCAGAGTAGTGAAAACGCGCAAATATAGGTTGTTTAAAATGAAACGGGTGGTGCAAATATCTTCTATATCATTCTATGTTTTTTTTTCAATAAAAACACCGATAGTAGGTTGAACAAAATCAAAACTTGTGCAAAACTGGGGAAGAATACTCCCTCCTATCTTTACACCTCTTTTTTTTAAGGAAAAAGCTAACGAGGGAAGTTCTTCAACTTTTAAGAAACTTTTGAGCTAATATTTTGTCCATAAATAGGACTTGGTGATGTTAAATCTGTTCTTATTCATTCCCTCGACTGTGGGAAGGGTCATATGAAATAAAATGCGTTTGTAAACTAAAATTTTTGATCAAAACAGATGCTTCTTTCTCAAATTATTGAGTTTCTATAGTAGATCTACAATTACAATCCGTCTGTTTTTTAGTGGGCATTTTTTGAAACGTAACTATGTTGAAAGTATAGCATCTATTTGGCTTGAAACCTTTAGTGTACACTAGGAATCATGAGAACTTATCATGAACAGAATTTCAGATTGAAATACTTTCATTCGACTTTGTTTTAAATCGTATGTCGGAAGCCGAAAAATTTACTAAAACGGTCAAAATTTAGGACTAATTGATCATGGCTGAGAACAGTTTTAAGATTTTCTTAGTATTATTCAGTCCAACTTATGGATAAAATATCTATTCAAGAGTTTGTGAATCGTTGGAGCATTTTTCTCATGAGTATGTAGAACAAGATTAATTACTACGTAATTATCAGGAAGAGAAACAAAAATAGATGCAAAATAATATAAAATGTTCGCATTTACTGTTGTGCCCATAACATATTTTTCGTTTAAATATATGATCCATAGCTTTATTTTAAGAATATTTCTGTTTTTTTCTCAGTGTCCCCATCCTCTACTGTCAATTCAACATTCGAAGTCCCAACATGTTCCTATGAAGGAATTGAAGATGGCTATGGAACAATAATTAACGTATTATCAGCTAAAAAGAATCAAGGACTAACAATTCCATTCTATAAAAGTACTGTTATCGAAGGAAACAATTTTGAATTCGATTGTCGTCCACCTGCAACGTGCCGTACAGCAGAAATTCTTTTCAATCCAAATAAAGAAACCAAATGGTTAGAAAGACATATGCACTTAACTCAAGCATTTATTGGGATTGGCGGCAAAGAACCATTTATGATGGTTTTAGGAAAACCAACACATAATCGAACAGATTTAACTGAAGAACAAAAAGCTTTACCAGATCTAAATAATGTTAAGGCATTTATTATACCGCCAGGTAAACTTTATATTTATTTATCTAGGACATGAGTGTGGGTATGGACGTATCTATACGAACAGAATATGAACATCTATGCATTTACCTACGCATCCTCACCCTAAACGCTTGCGTTTATTCTCTGTACTGAAAGGTCATTTACTGCAAGTAACTTCACTTTAAGTGATTGATATCATTGTTAGAATCATAGGTGATGTTGTTGAAGAAGAAATTGTAGTAGACTTTGTTGCACTATCAGAATTATTACCTTGCTCATTTTCATCGTCATCGTCTGATGTTTATTCGATCATCAAAATAAACTTCAATATCATTGGCAAGTTCTAAATTGAAATAATTATTGAAACAAATGAGTAACTTTTCACTGTTGTCTGCATCGGAAATGAACTTCAATAGATAGCTATCTGTTGAACTATCCTATTTATGTTCATCATCGATTAGATTTGGTAGTGACCATAGATGTTCATTACAGTCTTGATAAGACATTTCTTCTTTTTTGAATTCATTTTGAATAAATCGTGATAACTTTTATTAGATTTATTGAACATTACTGACTTCTTCGCAGCACTTTGTCTTTTTATGTCTCCTTTAGTTCTATTTTGCTCTAATGTATCAGTTACACTTATCCGAAATCTATCACCAGAAATGCTTCAATGAATAGAAAAAACAATTAATGTCTTTCCGAAAGACATGTAACCACATTGAAGCAAAAAAAAAATTTCTTAAAATCACTTTGTTAAAGCCTATGTAGTCCAGAATCCCTTTCGAACATAAATATATTTGTTTAGACTGATAGTAGAACAACATCAAACACCATCAATGCCATACATGCTTTGTGAAAGTGTCCGGATATTTGTAAAATAAAAAAACCCAGAATATTCATTTTGTGGAACTCACGTATATTTTCGAAGAAAATAGTGAGTCTAAGTTTCAAGTTCAAGCTTTTGCGACTCCTCCCCTCCCCCCTTTCCATTACAGACCTCAACAACCGCGCACAAAAGGCTTCAGCTTTATTTAACAATAAAAGAAACGAGTTGAATAGTATGAAGAATGTGAGTTTGACTGCTATAAAATATTTCAACAGATTCATAATTATTTGAAGAAACCGGGTTCACGAAAGTTGGTTGATACGAACATTGATCGACGAGAAAAATAGTCGAAAAATTCTTAATTAAAAAAGAAGAAAAAAGAATCTTTCAATAAGAGCGACAGCAGTGTAAAAAATAAATTAACATCCGTATATAATCTGTCACTGGTACTTTTAATATAGTTGTTGCAGTACTGTGTGCAAGTAAAGTGGACTCCAACCTTTTTCAGAACAGTTGGTTTTAAGCAGAAGAAAAAATGAAAATTAAAAACGAGTACGGGTGTTGGGATGGATCTTCTTGAGGCCCATTGCGCACTACAATTTACCACAGTTGTGGCACTCACACCTGCAGCCGCACCAACGCTAACAATTACAACACACTCTCAAAAAACCTTTTTTTGCAGTTCCACAGCGCTATCAGAATTAATTTCGATACAATTTCATGAAAATACATGAATCTAACAATAATAATTTTAAAAAGGAATTCCATTTCATCTGCTGCATCAACTAGCAAAAAAACTCCTTTGTAGTGATGAACATTGTACCAATGGCGTCTTTTATGTTCTTCTTGTAACACTTTGACTGACCCGTCGCATTCGAAGTTTATATCTTATTTTCTTTTATTACGAATTTTTCGACTATTTTTCTCGTCGATCAATTGTTGTAGTGACTAATCGTCGTATCGATCAATTTTTGCTTTCACCTTTTTATCAGTGTCAAAAGTCAACACTGTCACCATTTATGGATTAATTGAGATATATAATAGTGTGGTAAGAGCGGCTGATGCATATAAACTGCATTATTGTAATGGTCTTATTTATGAAATAGTTGATGGTAAAAAAAAAAAATTTTCAAATTAAAAGAAAACAAAGAAAAATGATTATTATCGAGTATATAGCAACAATAATAAATGAAAATGGTAGCCAACGTCTGCAACAGATAAGGCACTTAACTGAACTGAACTGAATAAATGAAATGGGGCGCGCTCAAACGAAAACGGCACTTTCAGTTTTAAATGTAGAAATAAATAATACATCGTTGTTCTTGTCATCGATTATTAATAAATACAACTATAGCCGACAAAAAATTTTTCAGTTTACAGATGATGTTTTAGAATAACAAGGTTGAAGAGAATACGTAAGTTCCACATTTCAGCTCCAAAGGAGCTGCCATAACTAGCTTCTCCAAACAACCTATTTGACAGTCATAGACTGCTAATATAACTTTCACAGGTGTGACTCTGAAGTGCTCTTCTATACTAAGAGAAGAAGTTAGCAAATAAATTAAATTGATAAAATTGTAACAGATCTTTATTGATATTGTTTTCTATTTTAGGTTGTGGTTTGATTCTTAAAAAAGGTACATGGCATGATTTTCCAGTTAGTCTTGGTAATCCAGTAACTATTTTGACATTCAATAGCGCTGAAGTAGTCGAAGCTTTAGCTGCCATGCGTGAACCAGGTGAAATGTTAGGACAAGGTGATATCTACAAAATTGATCTTCAAAAACGTCTTGGTGTTAAAATTGGGTATCAATTCGAACTCACAGCAGGTGACCAAGAACAAATAAATGGTTGATGAACAACAAAATAATTAAACAATTCTTTTAATCATTGAACTAGAAATGTTCTCTTAAAATTTACTGTAATCATATTCTCCCAAACATGAGGGTGTGGATGAGAGTGATTGAACGTCTAAAACTAATACTCACATTCACACTCCTCATAAGAAAGATTTCAAAAATATTGTATCATTTTTATTACATTTTGTACAAAGTTTTTCACAATAAACAATTTTCATATTTTATCTAATAATATCTCGAGGGGCTTGTGATAATGAAGATGAAAATAATGAGCATACATGTTTTTTTCACCTTGTTCTAGCGGACTGGTCTCTCCTGTTTCTTTTTGCCTCATCACTGGAAAATAAGTGTTAGCTTATCAGATGAATGTGGTGATAAACTACTGTCCATTTCAGAGTTAAATGGTCGTGACCATTTTTTGAATAACTTTTGACCGACTAAGGCTATCGAGCTCGAAATTCGCATAGTTGGAAAGAGCGGACTTCGATGACGATGAGTCTTTCTATATGGTTCATATGAGTAGACAAACACTTTTTTATCACGGTTTTTACGTCAATATGTTGTTGTTGTTTTTTTTTCAGCGAGTTTTTTTGACATTTTAACTTTCATCATACCAAATTGTAGCCAAAATTCCGCTATATATATGGTAAAATTTAGACATCTTGGTACCGTCTTTTTGATCTCTTTGCTTCAACCAGGTCACTCTGATGCATGGTAATTTTATCGGATATGTAGCGAAATTCCGACTACTATTCGGTATAATGGATGTTAGAACGTCGAAAAAAATTTGTTGAAAAAAAAGACAAAAGCAGCATGTCCTATTGAAATACATTAAAAGAGAGAACGCATAGTTAGAAATCAAATCTGATGTCTATAGTCTAGAAATAGATTCATTTCATGTAAAGAAGCTAACAAATAGATGATTGTAGTCGAAATAAAATTGACAAGATATGATTTATTTTTATTTTTCAAAGAGATCAGACTAAAATCAAGAATTAATATTAATCATATCTGTCTTGTTTCCATAGTTGAATATGATATTGTTTGTTTTTTTTCACTAGGATTTCACTGCCCATTTCAGCAAAGAAGACGGATGGGTATTTTTTAAATAACTTTTGATAGAAACAACATAGAGAGTTGCAGTTTTCACCGTTGAAAAGAGACTCATCCAGTGCATCGATTCATGTAAAGGTGGGGTGTGGGTATTAGTTAAGATATAATCGACACCCACACCCTTATTACTAATCTTTCTGACTTTTTGAAAACTCACTTGATGAGAAGTCATGAAATCTGAACAAATTAGTTTTAGTCTTGTTGAAATTGTCGCCATTTGTATAAAGACATGCTAGTAAAAACTAGAATGTTTATTTTTAAAGATATTCTTTTTCAGAGAAATCATTCGAACAATTATATTTGCTAATATTGTCTTTTATAAGTTTTGATAGATTGGAATTGACTTTAAATCGATAGAATTAATGGTCAACGGTGGATCTAGGATTTTTTAATATTTTTTACTGCTAGAAAACCGGAGAAAAATGTTTGGGAAGTGTGCGATTATTTCTAGTTCTCCATTTCTCCCTAAATCTGCTACTGTTAATGGTTATTAGAGAGCAAATCATTTTTTTTCTTTGCAGTTGTTGATGATTCATGATTCTTTTCTCATATGATCGAGAGAGAGAGAGTTACCATGAAATCATCTGACATAAAGAACAAAAATAAAATCTTTTTAACCCTGAAACGCCCACGTTTCGGACTATCACTTGCTGACCACCTGGGGTTCGTATGGACCCCAGTCTGATAAAATAGAAACAATATACTACATTACCATTGTTTTGTAATAGAACTATAATAGTTCTGAAGGAGACTTATGTCCAAGAAGAACAAACAGAACAGTAGTTAATTTGAATGGTATTTATTCAATCTTTTTTACGTTGTTCTCGTCCCTAGCATAGTTTCTTTTTTCTTAGAACTGAAATTTCAGCAATATACGATGTAGCTGAAAACTAATTGTTCCTGAAGTAACGCTCTATTTTTACAGCATCGGTCAGATTGACTGCTGTTACCGGCGTACTCTACTAGGTGTTCCTAAAGTGTCCATGAAAGAACAAGACCCTATCTAAGGCTACAATTACAAAATATTAAAAGGAATTTCACTGGGATCAGGGTGGATCCCAGGTGGGCAACAAGCGTTCACACGTACTTCGAGATAGTTTATCACGTAAACAACTAGTTATGACAACCAGCTGACGTCAGCGGCATATAGTACAAATCTTCACTAGAGCATATCTAGAGAGGCGGGATTTTGTCTGACGTTGTGTGTGAATAACACTTAAATGAAATTAGTTCGGGTCCAGGCGGACCTCAGGTGAGCGTATCAGGGTAAAAATATTCGTTTGATTACACATTACTACGATTTATTTGATTCTTTTGTTTTAAAAAAAAAAAGAAAATTCAGGCAATTAATCGTAGGATTTTGATAATTGTATCGAATTTTCTTGCTGAATAAATTTCGTATCTAATCAGTCAAAGTAAAATGTGAAGGATCATCAAATTGAGACACATTAAAAACAAACAATGAAAAAGTAGATTAACAATCTTTAATTTGATAAACTCTGTAGTGTGCTACTTTACCAAAAAAAAATCAAAACTATAAAATAGAAATAAAGATTTTATTAATATATTTCGAACTGAAATTAAAAGAATAAATTGTGTCCAGTTAATTTGTTATTCCAATGAATTATTGAAATGAAAAGACAGATTTTATTTATTAAATTTCAAAACAGATAATAATATATATAGCTCCACTTTTTGTGCAAACAAGAAGATAAAGGTGGGTGTGGGTGTGTATTTTATTTCCATCCACTCACATACCCACACCCACACTCACAACCACACCCAAAAAGTATCTTATAAATATTTTTTACGGCTATAAACCCAACGGCAGTAATTCCGGCACATGAAGTAATCCGAATAGGCATTAAAAAACTAACGATGGTGCACCTCGAAAATCATCGAATAAAGAACCGTTGAAAATATTTTTTCATTGTGCATCCACTTTCGAGTGCTCGACGACAAAAACCCTATCGGAAAGATAATTTTGATCGCTAAAAAACTTCTTTGACATTTGATTTTCGAATGATTCTTTACTTTTATTTCATTATCTCGTTGGCTGATTTTTGTTTGTTACCTAATTTTACATGATTTCAAGAGTTAAACAACATTATTTGTTATCTCTAGCTAAAAGCATAATCAAAATATGTGTACATAATTGTGATATTGACATAGTTAAACACTCTCAAACTAAAGAGTCTGGTTACTGTCATTTATTGTTGTTCGATTTCCACTATTTCTTTCATTAATTTTTTTTAATATTTAAATTAATTATTATCTAATTTATGCTTCAGCATAAATTGTCTACTTGACAACGAAGCCTATCATAGATAGAACCGCTTTTGTCAACCGCTGACAAAAAGAAAAAAAATTAACCAATATTAAATTTACGAAAAATCAAAAACAAAGCTGAAGTTCAATATATTTCATGAGAACACGCAGATTTATTGAAGATTAAAACTTCATATTTAGTTCATCTGATATATACAAATTTGGTAATCATAAGTACATGTATTCGAAAAATGTTGATGTTATAAATAAAGTATTTCCACACTCTCACTGATTTATAGTATCAAGCAAATGACAAAACAAGAAATATAATTAATAAAGACAAAACAATGAAAAATATTGAAATAATAATACAAATTAAGTGTAGACGGTAGTCTGCCATAATTTTATAATATTTATCTATTAAAAGATGATTTCGTTGTATTTCTGGAACAAACGATTAGATATGAAAAGAAATATTGGATATTGAAAAGTAAAGCATAAATTTAGTAGAACAATACAACTTTCGATGAGTAGTAAGACATAAGGTATGGAGAAAACCAAAATTGGTTAACAATAAATCGATCAATATTTGATTCTTGTGCATAATTTGATTTTAATAAATAATCAATAGCGAAATAAGAGTAGTCAGAATAAGTGTTATAACATGGCGTTCATGTCTTTACCCTTGTTATTAGTCTTTTTATATTAGAAAACAACTATAAACATACGAATTGTTAACGAAGAAAATATAATCGGTTGAAACAAAAAACGGATTAAAAGAACTAATTGATCACGCATTATTATATATGCTTGATTAAAAATGAGGAAATTCTATGTCTAATACTCAAGTATCATTGAATTTTCTTTTTTTGTAGAAGGTATTTAAAAAAATAAGAAGGAAAACAAAGTACGAAAAGATATTATTTTAGTATTTCTCTCTATAGTTTAAAGAAAAAATCCTAGGCTTACGAATGTTCTTGCTAACAAAATGCTGTCATATCGATGTTTCTGTTTAATGATACTTTTATCACAATACAATATCTTATATGTATACTGATGATTTTTATTCTTCTGTTATACGATGTTCTTAATTATAAAACTGCTGCAAATATTATTCTGAATTTTTATGCATGATAGGATGAATATATGTCATCATTATGAACGACAAAAAAAGTCTAACAATAATTTATAGTTTATTGAATAGGAAGCCGTCAAATTGATATTAATGAAGATAACTTATGTACCAAATCGAGTCCCTAATGTTCCTATTTTGCACGTCTGTTTATTTTCTTGATGAAAAAATAACGATCTAATGTGGCTCATAAAATTTCATGTCATTATTACATTTAAGAATTTAAGTGAAATGTACTTATAACAATTTCCTAAAAATTTTTTCATGAACAGTAAAAATTGATTATTTATGAAAAAATTTATATCAAAGAACCCTTTTGACAATCAATGTTCATTTTTTAAGTTTACAATCAATTAAAAAAATGATGTTTTTTACTGATGACAATAAAAATCCATAATATAGTCGCCATAATCTTGAGTCAGTCTTTCTCGACAAATCTACATAGATCTCGGTTTTCCAAAGACCTCAATAAAGATAGTTTTG